GTAGCCGTAGCCGTAGCCGTAGCCGTAGCCGTAGCCGCAGCCGCAGCCGTGGCAGTGGCAGTGGCAGTAGCAGTAGCAGTAGCAGTCGCAGTCGCAGTCGCAGTCGCAGTCGCAGTCGCAGCAGCAGTAGCAGTAGCAGTAGCAGTAGCAGTAGCAGTAGCAGTAGCAGTAGCAGTAGTAGTAGTAGCACTAGTAGTAGTAGTAGTAGTAGTCGTAGTAGTAGTAGTAGTAGTAGTAATAGTAGTAGTTGTTGTTGTTCTTGTATCAGTACCAGTACCAGTACTAGTACTAGTACTAGTACTAGTAGTAGCAGTAGTAGCAAAGTAGTAGTAGTAGTCGTCGTCGTCGTCGTCGTCCTTGCTTCATAGTTGCGGAGCAACCACGACAGTTGCTGCCCTGCATCGGGCTGTGTAGGGGCATCATGAAAGCAGAAATAGCAAAAGCTCCAATCCACCGCAAATCCTGAAGCCAAAAGCATGCGCCAGCAAAAAGTGTCCAGTTTTCCATCTTACTTGCACAGACTGCAAACGCTACCCGGAAATGAAAGCCTGCGGCCCACACGATTCCTGATCCTGAATCATCCGGACCTGCTGCCACTGGTCGGCTTGTGCGCAAGCCGACATCGTGAGCGTCGCAATTGCAAGGCTGTCCTGTCGGCTTTTATGTGTTCGCAGGTCATTATATATTTGTATATGCATTACGTATTTATATATATATATATATAAGAGCATGGCATAAGTTTGGGGCTTCGTCGTCGGTCACCCTCCCACTCCGCTCTCCTATTTATGCTGCAAAAGTGTCATGACATACCGAATGCATGAAGATGTGCTGTTAACATGCACTAACACTTGCACACATACATACATACATACATACATACATACATACATACATATAGACATACATAGGGGTCGCGTGTCGGCCCACACAGATCAATGTAAATGTGCACATAATAACAACCACAGTAAACGCACTCAGAAATAACACCGAACAAAAGCAATACGGTTGATACGTACAAGCAAGGCATTTGTGCCCTGCAATTGTGTAATAGCAGTAGAAAAGGCTTCATCAAGATTGACAGCCCCATCATTAAGTGTGAACAGGCCATAGCGACAAGAGAATACGTTAAAGCAAACAACCAATGCCGTCAGCTACCCCATGACAACATATGCAACCCTAAATCTGGAGCCTCAAACTGCGAACACTCTGCATATTAACCTTTCGAGCCTAGCTCTGAATCCAGATCATGTGCCCGAAGGACAACTTTCTGCTTGTTGCATGCGTCCTGACCGATCTCCTCCCGGAAATCTGCAAAGAGGCCTAAGGCGGCCACCTTACACACATCTGCTGATGTCAATCATGATGAGGACCCGAACGGCGATCATGATCACTCTGACGATGGCTGCGGTACTGATGCCAATCGCGGTGCACGCGATCATGCGATGATGTTGTCGTCTTGGGGTTTCCTGAAACTCCTCCATGAAGTTCAGCTATATAGAAACACATGTTGAACTGATTGAATCTGCAGTGGGGTGCGGAGCCCCGCCACTGAAAGAGGGTGACACGCTGAACACCACACTCTCAATACACAAGCCTCCTTCCAAAGCCGACAAACGCCGGCCATGTGACTTTCACGTACCATGCCAAACATCATAGTATATGCTAAAGCCATCCCAAGTCCGACATACCATACTCGAGCCTCGTAGCATTGAAAACCTAAAGCTTGCCGTCGTTACTTCTAACATGCGACTGGGTATCAACATTGTGCACAAATAACGTAATGTGAGGCATAACTGGTTTAACAAATATGTGTAGACCGCAGACACATCCACGCAAACTCGTAGAGACATGCATACATGAAATCTACGTGTGTGTATATATATATATATACATATGTATAGATGGATAGATACAATTATAGATATAGATATCGGTTTCAATATGGATATAGAGACAGATACAGAGACATGCATAGATAGATAGGGGAGCGAGAGATAACATGTATGCATATGTACATATGCAATATATATATATATATATACACATGCGCATAGATACATGTATGTTTAACTGGTTGCGTACAAGTAACTATTTGCGCGTATGTATATATGTATATATATATATATACATATGTATATGTGGGTAATGCGGAGAGGTAAAGAGGAAGACGGACAGTGAGCAGGAAGAGCCAACATTGCGATGGCTCAAACGCAGAATGCCATATGAAGAGGCCAAAAAGGAATTTAGCATAAATGCACACACATCCAATATGTAGTATACCGTAGCATCCTATAGCTGAAACGTGCCGAAGCTGTACCTGGTACTTGCCTATGCCGCATTGACGACATTTCAACCTAGTCCATACATGGACCTGTCCCCAGGACAACAGCACTTGACTGAGTTCAGCACCCATGCTGTAGCTTCTTGACAAGCACGGATGGCGGCACCAAAGCCTCTTCGAACAGGGTTGAACGGTTTGCCGTCTTGGGCTTGACATGTATTTTCTCGTGCGAGTTCCTGCATGTGGACCTGTTTCTGCCTTAGTACCACGCTGTAGTATGATATGCGGTGTGCTATGCAATAAAATCTACTATATATTCTACCCAACAGCCTCCATTGTAGTTCCTCCTTGTGGTTTTTACTTAGGATCCTACAAGGTAAACCCCAAGTGGAACTACGATGGAGCATATGCGTATGCAATGCATTATGATGCAGCACAAGGCCTGCTTCGCTGGGCGCCAGCTGGAGGAGAGCGAGTGCAGCACACCAGACATCCCGGGATGCGGCCACCGCAGCACCTTCTAGTTCGAGTTGAGGGTTCGTGGCACGTGGGCTGGGGGTCTTCAGCATTTCCTGGAAGCTCTTCGGATGTTGGGCTGTGAAAGCCTACAGGCTTGTGAACATTCGACGGCCGGCGAGAAGCCGTGAGCGATACTCCGTTCCAGTGTAGGTGGAGGTTCGGGAATGGCCTCTTGGCGGACACAGAAAGGTGAGAATTCGAGGACCGGGACACATCCCTGAACAACTTGAGCCGATACACCAAAGGGTCTAAGTACCCATATAGTAGGTATTTTGGGCCCCAAAGTATCTACCATATTAGTAGTTAGACCCTTTTGGGTACACCAGGAGATAGCCTGAGGCTCTGACTGATGCAGATCTCATTGACCCGAAGCGCCTGGCGAAGCGCAGGGCCGCTCGCGATCCTATTCCTCTGGCTGGCCTCAACGTCGCACTGTGCTCTTGTCATAGCCTACCCACAGGCTCCATTGTAGTTCCTTTTGGGGATTACCTGAAAGGATCCTAAATACAAACCACAAACAAACTATAAAGGAGCCTAAAGGTAGCAACTCCTTCAGGTTGGGGATGTCGAAACAGTTCATGCCAAGCTCTGCCAACGTGACGCTGATTCTAAAAACGCCTGCAGCCCTGTGACGTGGGTAGTTCTCTAAATTCGGGTCGCTCTTAGGGGTCGTTTTACAAAGGTGCCGCCTTCTGTTGGGTCCTAAGCAAAGGATCGTAATTGAGAGAACTACCTACATCCATGTGGGGTGTACACGTGAGGTCTTTTGGCTCGTGGCTGTCACGTGGAAGCCTCGGTGTCCTCCAGCAGAGGTTTTAGTGTACATGCTCATGGCTTATAGGATGTTCTAGAAGTATCCTGTTTCTATATTTGCATTTCTAACTTATAACATCTGACAGCCCTCCCAACTGACACACGCCATAGGTATACAATCGGAGGCCGATCCCGGAATGGATCCGGGTACAGGGACCTTGCTGCACATCTCTTCAACCAGCGCAACGGCCAAGCTCCACTTTCGGGGCACCTCGCAAGCGCGAATCACCTTGAAGCATCCGGAAGCATTGGTTGCTATAGGAGCTTGGCACTTCTGACTGTCTTCCGGCTTCCGGTGTTTATACTATACGAGCCTGCATATCTGTTCTCTCTGCTTCCTCAACGTCCCCATCTAGTGGCTCTTCACAGGGGCTTTTGTATACCCAGGAGTACTGTGGGCTTTGACCTGACAGAGAAGGCCGCTGGTGTCGAGCCAGGCGGCGGCACCGTAGCAAACCTCGTCCAGGGAGGCTTCTGGAAGCGCATCGATAATGGCCAAAGCTCTCCTCCATTGACTGGCGCTCCTGCTGCAGCATGCTGCAGGCGTCTCAAAATACGAGAGACCATGGTGCTCCATGATTTCTGCTTCTTCCTGCCGATTCCTCCCCCTGGCAAATTTACGCAGCAAACACAACGCCAACGACAAGCCGCCTAACACGAAGTAGACTCTTTTACATTCTTTTACAGTCTTCCTGTGCAGGCCCCTTTCAGGCCACGTTGCACGTCCTGTCCGCTCAAACACTGACGGCCCCAACCCGGAAGCCCACCCACAGGCAGAAGCGGCTGCTGCCGCACTTGATGCGCCGTCGGCTGTTCTTTGCAGCGCCAGAGCAAGCTGCCTCGAGAAGATCGATTCGAGTTTGGCGTTCGGGTTCAACCAATGTTAACGATGAATAAACGGCGAGAAGCGTCCCGTCTTCAAGGTCCGTCGGCAAGTCATGCGACTGGCTTTATGTGGCAATCGATTAAGATTCGTGCTCTTCTTGGTCGTGCCAGCCGAGATTTGGACCTAGCTGACTAGACGACCGGCGAGGGTACAAAGTTAGGGAAGCACTGGTCGACAGAGAGCATGGGGACGCTACGTAGGTGTTGGGCAAGTGCCAGATGTGTCGCTGAGAAGGAGGGGAGATAAGGTCAAAATGACAGCCGCATCGATGTTGCACGTGGATAGACCAAGCCCGCTCTCCCGGAATGGAACAGTCGAGCGGCCACTGTGAGGCCTGCACAGGCACAGACTTCACAGCTCCATCGGAGCCAAGTATCACATCCACTCAACTAGTGCATCGGGATCTCACACGTGCTTTGGCTTTGACTATCACGGCTAGCGAAAGGTGTGCCATTGCTGGCATCTGCATGCGAAAAAAATCAGGCGCCCGACGTGGCGACACAAGTAGTCATGAGCTTTGTCGACTGCCTTTCATCGAATGGTTTGCTACCATCGAACTCTGCAAGTCCTGACGCTCATGGGAACACTGCGCCTGCCCACAAGTGCTTATCGCCGTCACACGGCTGATGCGATCGGCTTGAATCTGCTGCCTGGTCCGCCATCATTGGTCGATGTTGTTTGGCTCATTATTAACTTCGTTGTCAATCAAGCTGGAATGACTTCGAGATCTCTAGATTCAGTTGGCTTGTCGATATGACGTTCTTGGAATTTCCCTGCCCGGCTCGAACTCGATCACCACGGTTCACCAAGAACTTGCACACAGGCGCCACAGCAAAAGGAAGACAAGCACTTCTTGCAAGACCCTCGGCCATAAGACTAGACCGTCAACCTTGTAGCACATGACCTCCTTGACATGTTCAAGACACAAGCTACCCCCGACTGACTCTTCTGTGGGTGACCGCGGCCTCGGCATAGAGGCCAGTAGCAACAGCCTGAGACGGGAAAGCTGCAGCATTGCTGGGCATCTCTGCAGTTTTGGACTCTTAGCTGCGATGCTCTTGGCTAGGAGTTGGAGCCTGAAGGCTAATTCTCGTCGTCCGAGTGGGCAAGGCCGCCTGCTGTCCTTCTGGTTCTGCTAGAGGTAGCTAGGTAGCTAGTGGAAAGCACATACAATACAAACCGTCCATGCATACCACTAGCATCTGCCATTTCGGCGTGCTGGACTGCATGCACAGACAAGCTGTACAACTTCAGCACCGCCTTTTGGTCCCAGGGTCGCACGCTGCCATTGACCCGCGACGTCGCAAGCGCCCATCGCAGCGTTGCACACAGCGCAGCTGGGAGACAGCGACCGCAGCTTGGCTTCCTGACGCAACAATTTGCTAACTCCCAAAACCGAAACTGAAGTCAACACGATCCCGAAGATCAATACCCCTTTCCCTGCGCCCGTACATCACCTGGAGCGTGGAAGAAAGCCAACAATCTAGCCGACACCAGATAGAATTGCTAAGCAACCTAATCTTGCAAGTAATGCTCCAAGCCGTGCAGAAATCCAAAGACTCCTCTGCAAGCCATACACTGCATGATGACAATCATGGCAGCCATGGCAGAAGAAGGTAGAATCAACATAAGAAGCGAATAAACTCCGGACACTCTAAACTTACAAGGCTCAACCAATATCCTGGAAGACGAATCTTGGAAAACCTTACAGACTCAGAAAGTTTCTTGAAAGTGGCCTTGAAGAAGTATCTCAACCCTAGACCGTCAACCAGCAAGACCCACACCCCCGAGTCCAAAGAAACTCAAGGACTAGATAGTATGTATCCCCAACTGTGGGCCCAAACCCCGAAAAAACATTTTTTTGCTTCTGAGCGCAAGTCTAGTCCCAAAACCTAAAAACTGAACCCACATCCCAGAAACACAAAATTTCTAACGATCATCTAACGTTCAACCACGCATCTTATTCTCAACACAAACTCAGCCAAACAGAGCACCTCGAGCAGGGCCAATGCTCGAACCCAAAGCCCCGCCAAGGCCAGCGCACTTAGCGCTGCTGTAAGGCTATGGGCCTAAGTTGAGGGATGTTGAGGGCTTCGTGATCGTGCCTCTTGCATAGCGCTGGCCTAGCTTTGCTTACAGCTGCTTTCGGACGCAAGGATTCGGACTCGGGCTGAAGATGCGAAGCTTCAAGCGCTTTGGTGTGCGGAGCCTACAGTACGTCGCTGGACTTGACATCTTTCGCTGCTCCAATCCTGATTTAGATGTTGAATCTTAGTGGACATATCACCCCCTATGGTCCCGAGCACATGATGACAACTTGAAGCATCCAGGGCTTCGGGCTCGGCTGAGAGTTGTAAGGCTTGGAGTTTAGGATTGCCCAGTTCATATTTGCTGAACTCAACGACCTGCTCCCGGTCATCAACCGAACGACTGGCCGTGCAAACTCCAGCCCGTTTTCGCGTTTTGCAAACCTAGAAACCCCCAAAAAAGAAGCACACGCTTCAGGCACTTCCTCTCCATCTCCGGGACGCAAAACCGGGCACTGAACTAATGCCTATAGACCTTGAGACTGTCCGCTCCTACAGCCCCACTCCCAAGCCGAGCCACATCAGCGCCCCCAGCACGGAGCCTTCCGGGTTCTGGGGGATGCCGAAACCAGGGCTACATCACCCGTAATCGAGCCTTATAGCTTATAAACCTATACTGAAACTTCTAGGATGCTTGCAACTTTGGCTTTTGCCTACTCTCCTTTTGCCCAAGCCCTGCAGGTTGCGACTTTCAGCACCCAAGTCAGCTCAGCCCAGTTTGCGACCACCGACTCTCTGGTCTCGGGACCTTGTTATGCCTCCCCCTAACCCCCCAGGTACCTACTTTCTAGGGTACCAGAGCCCCTAGGGCCCTATAGAGTAGGTACCTGGAGGGTTAGGGTCCTACTTCCAAAGGACAAGCCCACATGGCAGCGTCTTCAGGATCTCACAACCTCTTTCGGTGTAGATCCTGAGCTCTTCTCAAAGGCTTCTAAGGTTTCAGGTCCAGTTTAGGCTTGTTCTTACAAACATATCAGTATCGACCCAAAATCTGCTCTAATTATAAAAACGGCCTAGATTGTATCCCTTGCCCTAATTAACCAAATGCCTTGACGCAAAGACGTCCAGGGCCGCTTCCCACCTTCCGGCACCAGCGCAGGCGGAAATCCTTGGCAGGGCCGTTGGAGCGACATAGGGCTTTAGGGCTTTAAGGCTTCAGGAGTCTAGTGTTTTATTTAGGGTCTGCAAAGTGATCGGTTGGTTAAAGGGTGCACGCGGACTTCCACAAGCTCTCATTGGCACCTGTAGCTCTGTAGAGGACTGCATGCTCGACACCCCAAGTCTCCAAAGCCCTGAAGGAGTCGGGACCTCAAGCTCAATGACCCTAACCGTCAGAAGGTTTTTCCTTGTTTAGGGTTGTAGGGAACTGCACAAAAAAAAACCGTGATTTCAATCTACGAGCGCAGCGGCGAAGAGGTAAAGAATTCGGAGCTCTTCCCGTTGATCTTAAGTGCCACATAGCCACGTCCGCGTTAAGCCGGTCCCCAGGAGGCTTATTTGGGTTAGTTGTGGCAGTCCCAACAAATTCCTGACCCAGCCCCTGATCGCTAAATCCGGACTCTCTCATCCACACTCCATTACATCATATTCTTCTGTAATATATTATCCTATGCTGGATTGATTAGATTAGAAGGCCAGGGAGCAGGGCATTGTGCGAGATTGTATCTGGGCTCACCTTCCTCAGTGACTGGTGCGTCAAGCACTGAAACAACTTGCAGACTTGTCCTCTAAAGCTATGGCAAAACAAACCACTCTAAACTAGTGAAGGGACTTGAGATTTAAAGCGGTATCTCCTCTACCTTTGCCTGCGACATCCTGAAAATTTCAGGTTGAATGAGAGAACCAGAACTATGCTATAGAAATATGCCGCAAGACCAAAGTTTACCAGGCAGAGTCAATATGTCTTGCGGGCCCTGCGGTTCAAGGGAAACACGTAGTCTGCCTGCTTGTAGAGGGAAAGATACATTCGCCGCCTATGCAAATCCTGAGCAGCTGGGTGGCTGCGGCTTGCTAGGTTAGCAGGGACGGCGGCAGCAATAAAACAGGCAAAACTAATTACAATGCAAACAGAGACAGACCCAACGTCCACACGTTGTCGTCACACAGTGGCATGCTGAGAAAAGTTGAAAGGCCGCGGCAAACAAACAACTTCTGCAGAACCCGAAGTGGAACATTGCCCACAACCATCGCTGATCTTGCATGGGCTGACCGTCTTCGCATCCACTGCAGCTCGGTGAACACAAACACGGTTTGTCTGATGTCTGCCTGGACACTCTTCGGACATCACCTGCAGCTGCAGCATGGCTCGCTGCCACTCGCCGGCCTTTGGGACATTAGAGCTTCTCGGCTTCCAGACGACTCCCAGCATTTCAAACCAGATCTCCGCGTTACGCAGGACCTGCAAACGTGGATGTTGGCGACTAGGCGAGTCCAGCTCGTACAGCAGTTGGTTTGTTAACTGTACATACATTCATCCATTAATTCATTCATTCGTTCTTTTTCACTGCATTGCATGACAAGGCATTCCGGCACTTTACAACACATCACCTTACAGTACATTGAACACCTACGCATTACAGTCGTTATGCACATTGCACTACGTTCAATAACACAACCAACCAGAATTGGTGTGCACAGTACACGTATATGTGTACCTACACACATTTTCTCACAATTAGATACACAAACAACAGGCAAAACGCGTGCTATCTACATGTGTATATATATATATATATATATATTTGTTTGTTTGTTTATCGTATACATGTATATATATATATATAGACATATATATATATATATGCATATGTATTTGTATGTTTACATGTTTTTCTATTTGTTGAATTTGTTTAGCTATGTATATTCATATAGAGATATATGTGCGTGTGTAATTACAAACACATCTCTAACCCTAAACCCCATAGCAGTTCGTTTTTGTGGCTGATATTTAGGATCCTATTCGGCAATCCCACAAAGGTACTACTATGTGGCCTATGGGAAACCCTAAACCCTATAAGCCCTAAAACCGCGACGAAGGGGGGGGGGGCGCCTTTTGGAAGGTGCTGATGAGGGCGTTGTGGCTCACGGTGTCGGCCGACAAGCGCTTCTTGCACATCCTTGCGCCACGGTTTAGGGTTTGGGGTTTAGGGTTCGCTAGAGGGTTGTGGTCGGGGGTTTGGGGGAAGAGGGAGGCAGTTTGGGTTGAGAGCTTTCGGGAAACAGAGTTGAAGCTTACAGGGTTTGAAGGCTTCTTGCAGATTTGCCATGGTTCTGAAAGCTTCTCGGTGGATGAGGAAAGAACAAGTCGTTCAGGCCTAATTACAGAATGCGGGCGCATTCCGTGGCAGAGCTAGAAAACCTGACATGACAGCTGACGCGCCAAAGGACCCAACGTCTGTAGACCCCAGCTTTATGCAGCTCAGCAGCCGCTGCAAGAGCGCAACAGCCTCCTCCCAGTCACCGGCCTTCGGAAGCAATACGTTAAGGCTACTTGAAAGATCATGGGACTTAGTAAATAAAGGCTTAAGTCCCTTAATTGGGGTTATAAGTATAGTTACCCTGATTATAACCCTACTTACTAAGTCCCATGATCCTTCAAGAGGTCTTCAGACGGCATGGTGGATCTAGAGGGCTTTCGCCTGAGCGCAAACCAGATGCAACCTGGACAAGCCAAGAAAGGACTGAAACTCTAAAGCTCCAACAGAAAAAACAAACAAAACCAACAAATCGAAACAACCATAAAGTGCCTTACACGCAAAACTTCCCAGACCCTAACCCAAAGGGTCCAAGTACTAGTATAGTATATACTTTTGGGGCCCAAATACCTACTAAGTGCCTACTATAATGGTACTTGGACCCTTTGGGCAAACCCTAAACCCTAAACCTTAAACCCTTAAGGCCCAAACTGGTATGACAAGACAGGCTCGCGCGGCTCCTTCTCGCAGGCGGAGATGGCTGAGTTGAAGGCGATCTGGTTGGCCTCGAAGCAAAGCCAATGTTTAGGGTTTAAGGGTTAGGGTTTAGGGGTTTAGGTTTTTTGTGGCACCCTACTTGGAGGTTCATGGGTAGTTATAGATAGGGTTATATAAGTGAGGTAACTATACTTATAACCCACATTAGGGGACTTATAACCCAACTTATCACTACCCATGAACCCCTAAACCCTAAGCCCTAAGCCCGAAACCCTAAAACCCTACTAGCCCCTAACCCCAGACCCTAGAACCCTAAACCATAGACCAAGTAAACCCTAAACCCTGGAGGATCAAGACTCACAGCCCGCAGCGTAGGAGAAGGCCCCGGCTCGGGATGCGGCTGAGCCAGGTTTCGCACAAGGGGAACAGGGGTTTAGGGTTTATAAGGGTTTAGGGTTTCGACTCTCACACTCGCACAAGGCCGGCAAGGCTCCGCATAGGGTTTAGGGTTTAGGGTTTAGGATTTAGGGTTTAGGGTTTAAAGGGTTTCAGGGTTTAGGGTTCGGTTTAGGGGTTTCAGCACTCACAACTGGGACATTTAGAAGGCCGCAAACAAGCCGATAAACGCTTTCAAGGGCTATCAAGCTTCAGCTTTAGGACTTATGCATGTTATGTGCTTGCCTTCGGATCGTGCGGGTGGGTTTGGGCGTCAGGCGCTACAGGCATAAAGGGTCCAGAAGGCCATAACGGTTGGGGTCAAGTTTCAGAGCATGCGTGCTGGAGATATTGAGGCTTTCCGGATGTATGCCTACCTTCCATGGAAAGGTCAGACCGGAAGCTTGGGAAAATGGTTGAATCCGGCGGCATGTGTGAACCCGATACGCCAGACACTCAAGTCTAAAGCCTCGGCTGACCTCTGAAGTTCTAACAACCAACTGCCTGATACGCCCGATCGAATTTTATTGGCCTTACATAGAAAACCCTAAACCCTAAACCTTAAACCCCCCATGGGGGCAAACCAAACCAGACGCTCCACCCTGGTCGCGAGGCCTGCAGCCGATTCATCTCCATCTCCTCTCGGCCAAGAACTCTCATAAACTGTCCATCCCACTCCTTAGATAGAGTTAGACAATCTTGAACCCCGAACACCTACAAAAATGCACAGAAGTCCCCAAATCACACCGAATCCTTCACCTTGGAATCCTCGAACCTCCTCGAAAGCTTCACGCTGGAGGCTGCGTACCCACAGTAGCCTCAAAGACCCATAGGACTCTGTGCTTAGATTCTGTCCTGAAGGTCCTCGTTGTGATAGGCCCTTATTCTGATACAGACATGAATGCGTACATACACACATACATACATACGTACATACATACATACATCCGTGAATCCGAAACTCCTGGAGCTGAGGGCTTTAGATCCATCTTTGTGCTTTGCAGATTCAATCCTTGGGTTTAAGGCCCTTAGCCTCAAACGTCCCGGGGTTTGAGCCCAAAGGGTCTAAGTACTAATATGGTAGATACTTTTGGCCCAAAATACCTACTACATGGGTACTTAGACCCTTTGGCGGGGAGCTTCTATGATTGAATCCAAGCTATGCCCAGCTAAATATCCGGAAGAGGGAATGCCCAAGACCCCGACCGTGGAAGACAAGCCAAAGGTCTCCGGATCCTGGAGGCGGGTACAGCGACAAAGCCTTGAAACCCTTCCTGCCAAGTAATTTCCCAATCCCCTCGCAACTACTCTCAGTCCTGCACCCCCAGCCCGACTAGCATTACTACCTATAGTCTCCATTGTAGTTCCTTTTGGGGGATATTTGGTTAAACCAAAAAAGGGAACTACAATGGACACTATAGGCAGCCCAAAGCTCCTCCAGGATCTGCCTAGCAGTGATGCTCTGCCCGGCACGGGCGCAGGCGTTGATGGCCGCGCCGCAGGCGACGACGTAGGGCTGCAAAGCTTCCTCTCCAGACATAGACGAAAACAAATAGTGCGTAGTCATGTACGTAACCTATTCATTCGTGAGTCTGTGTGTGCATGAATATGTATATATATATATATATACAATGATATACACATACATACATGTAACATATACGGCATTATGCTTCAGGTACAGCTGGTTCTTGAATTAGACCTTGGCAGGGATTCAGCCATGTTCCTTTCTGCGGTCTCGTTCCGAGGATCAGCTCAGTGTGTGACAGGATGTGTGGCAAGGCCCCATGTTGTCTTAATTCTAGAACCTTGGGCCATGGACGAACCGTGGCCCACTTCTATACAGCATGGACCGTACGGACTGTCAATCCTTACTGTACCTGAGTTGCAGCACAAAACCCGCATGATCAATGCCGGCTTTGCTTCTGTGCGGTATTTGGGCTGAGGGAATCATAGATGTTCTTTATCTGTTGCTTTCGCTATGCTACTGTCACCCACTGAAAAGCTTCCACATTCCAGATCCCAGGGGATACAACGCCTACAGCCCGACCGACTGAAGCAGTCTCCATGTCCAACATCTGGGCTGCCGAGAACCACGAACTGCATCCGAGACCTGAACATGCAGGCAGGTCCGATGCCTCCGCCATCGCCTTCAACAGCTCTATTGCCACTTCCCAGGCGTCGCTGCAAGCGTTGATGGCTGAGCTGTAGCTGACTTCCTGCGGACGGGCCCTCCTAGCTATCCTGCCTGGACGCATGCATAATGATTATGGCATAATGGTGAAACATCTGACCTGCAGTCTACGTCCATTAGGCCGTTGCATGTGGTGCTATTACGGCACTACTTGGTCACTACTTCGGTGAATATGCACTCCTGCTTGTGGTCATACTGCTGTCTTATCTGTATACCAACGATAGCGTTACTATACCAAGACTATCCCGGACTATCCCAGACAACAGAATTATTGGGGAGCTGTCCGTCGCCACCACGCGGTTCGCTCTCATACTCTCCTTGCCAGGGGTCGTGGTCCAACAGATACGGTACTTGTTCTGTTTCGTGTGCGATCTTTGGACAATATCGGCACTATCGTGAAATCTTGAAATGCATGCTGCCGTATCTGTTGCCCGTGATGGTCCAACATATTCCACATAAGTCAACAACAAAGGATGCAAGAGCCATCAAGCCTAAAGCACGGTGTCCAGCAGTGAGACTGCGCTTGGCCAAGCTTTGCGGCAAGCGCTGATCACCGAGTTGAAGGAGATGACATCCGGATCCACTCTCCTGGGGTTCCCAAGCCGGGACGTGAGGTTATGCAAGGCTTCTCTGCATTCGTATGTAGTATATGGTATGTGAGTTGATAGGGCTATAGGGTTGAAGTTGGGTTGTGAAAGCTCCTGAAATATGTAGTCCGGCGATCTCAAAGACAACACCGCGAGCTGAGTAAACCTGATTATCGCATCGCTGTTCAGATGAAGGCAGAACAAACTTAACAAACCACTGGTACGACTTCCGGGAAACCCAGAAAGAAACTCTCAATCAAATCCGTCTTAAACCCTTAACAGGAAGCCCTAAAACACCCTTAACGAAGACACCCTAAACCCTAGACCCTAAGCCCTACGGATCCCAAAAACCCAACAGAACATCTGAGGAGGCTCCACCCAGCCGCCTCCGAGAGGACCTGCAAGGCCAGGCGCCAGTTCCCCCTGGCGGCCTCGAACTTTCAGGGTTTAGGGTGGTTAGGGTTTGGGGTAGACATAGGGTGTACTTAGTTCCTGAGTTCATAAGCCACAAAAAGCGTAGCATTTTCAGTTTTGTAGTGGGTACGATTATCCAAAAAAGTGTAAGGTGCATCCACTCAGCTACTAAGTGTAGGGTGTTTAAGATTTAGGGTTTAGGGTGTTCAGGGTTTAGGGCTCAGGGTTTAGGGCTCAGGGCTTAGGGTTCAGGGCTTAGGCTTCAGGGTTTGGGGTTAAAGGACTTTGGCTAGGACGAACCTAATATGCAGGGTATGATCGCATGACATACTACCGCAGACTTACTCCACATTGGAAGAGAGGAAACGAGCGTTTCAACAGGCTTAGGGTTTAGGGTTTCCTAGAGTTCCGCTGGGTTCCACGAGGGACAGGGGTTCTAGGTGGAGCTTGCAGGATGTAATCGGCTGCTTGCAAAGTTGTAAAAGGGCTTAAGCGGAGGCTCAAGGCAGAGCAAGGCCTTAATCAGGAGGAATGCTTTGTTGCCTTGTTACTTTTGTAAGGCTTTGGGGTTTTGGGGGGATGGGCTCTAGTAGGGACAAAGGACTGAAGGCTTGTGTCTTTAGGGATCGCTAGCCCCATTGCCCTGTTAAGTCAGTTCAGCTTCGGACGCTCGCCAGCCAAAACACGTGTACCTACCCCAAAAGTGCCCACTTCCCCGCATATGCGGCCGAGGGGAGGTTGGAGGATTGGCCTTTTATTAGGCATCATCAATCCTATGTAAAGCTTACCATGTAGTCATTTCAGAATAAAGGCCCTTCGGCATTTCTGCTCTTCCTCCACCCCAGGACGGCTCATCAAATCCCAGATGTACAGGGGTTTCAACAACTGGCTGGCTGTTTAAGGCTTCGCGATAGCAAGCTCTCCTCTCGATTCACATATCGGCAAGATCCTTGCTAGAGTTTGTTTGCAAAGCCGGTTCCCCACTCGGATTCCAGACAGAGGCAAAAGCCTTGATGGCAACGTTGACATGCACGACATTCAATGGCACCTTAGCATCCGTAAAGACCACCAGAAGGCGATTGTGCAGACAAGGGCTGGCAAACGGAAGTTACTCAAGCTGCACATTGAGTTTTGCAACGGCGGCCGCTTGCAAGCCCTGCTTTGCAAGCCTGGGCTGAGGCTGTCTAGTATAGATAATCTCGTTCATGCTGTGCGAGGTTTAAACCCAGCCTAAAGCCACGAGCCAAAAACCCAGAGCTCTGCGGTCGGAGCACATCGGCCTGACGCAGCTCGTGGAGCGCCCGCGAAACGTCGCCTAGCAAGCGTCCGGCCGTACATGGGTTGTCTGACGCGAAGCTGGCTATGTCAATGTAGGGATAGGCAACTGGGCATGGAAAGCTATGGGCGTAGGGCCCGCAGGGCGAATAAGGCTCGCTTGGATGGGCGTGGTTGTCATCGTACCCACTACAACTTCGAGGCGAGAAGTAGCAAAATCTCACCTCTCTCTCTCTCTCTCTCTGTTTCCGTCATGCTCTCCACCTTTCCCAAAGGGTCTAAGTACCCATATAGTAGGTATTGGGAGCCCCAAAGTATCTACCATATTAGTACTTAGACCCTTTGGGTTTCTGAACCACTCATACCGGTCTCGGTCTGGCCGAGATCTGAGGTGCCGTTGGAGGTAGCAACCAGGGATCTGGCCGGGTCCCCACAACCCTCGCCCAAGCGGTCAGCCTCAGAGCTGAGCACGACCTTCCCCGGTGATTCTCACAAAGGTTCCGCGTCCGCTGGGCATAATAACTTCTTCCTTTCCCCATCTTCTTCCACCGGGCATAAGGGACGGGTTAGGTCCCTCGGCCACATGGGCCCCCCATATGTTATGGGGCTTTGAAGGGACTCTCCTCTCTCTCTCTCTCTCTCCCTCTCTCTCTCTCTCTCCCTCTCCCTCTCCGTCTGATGCTTCCAGGATCGAGTTCGAATCTGTCGCAACCGAGCGATTCTCAAGGGCCCCCCCAGAGCCCCGGAGTGCCCTCAGCGTGGCAAAGCTACAGCTCCTTGCCTCCGCCATCTGCCAACCGATTCCTTCGCTGCTTGTCTTTTTTTTCTGGGGGGGGGAGTCATGTATAGGGGCCTTAAAAATTAAAGAGGGTTTTGGGGCCATAATCCCACTTATAACTACACATGAACCTCCAAGTTGCCAAAGCCAAGCTGATGACCTCAGGCCTTCGAGGTCCTCAGCCCTCCAGGCCGAAGCACTCCGAGACTAAATCAGCCAAGAATCCGAAACTCAACAACCCCTCTCAATCCTTATATAAGCCCGAAAGAAACGGACACCAGCTTTAAGTCAGGACTCAGAAGTGCTGTCAACTCCTTCGGATTTTCCGCCCAGCGGGTTGCGAACTTCCTGGGTTCGCGGAGCAGCTGGGCGGCACCTCCAACTGAGGTCTTCAGGACAAGGGTGCTTTGGTTCTTGTCTGTGGCTTTGTTTCTGTGCCCTGGTGTGCGTTTTAACCGCTCAGCCTCTGGAACAGAACAGTACGGTTTAGGGTTTAGGGTTTAGGGTTTAGGGTTTAGGGAGCCTTTCGGCTGGAGGGGCTGCAGTCTCTCTTACAGAAGTCACGGCTTCTGACACCTCGCACAGAAGTCGCAGCCTGAACCAACCCCCCAACCTCTGGCTCGCGGTAGGCTAAGGGCCACTGGCATATGCCGGATGGATAAGAACGGATATGCCATAAGCAATAGATAAGCCATAAAGGTTTGGGTTGGAATCAGGTTCAGTATCTTTGCACTACACTTGCTGGGAACACAAACTACCGGCATCTTGTTATAGTCATGACATCGTCACACTAGGGAGTTATGATTACTCCAAAACAGAAGAAACCACCCAATCCTACAACCCCGACGATGAACCGTGACTGCATGGCACTTTAACCTGCAAATCCTGAAACCCAGAACCCCATTAACACCCTGAATCTCAACCCTAAGCCCATATAGTTCCACTTGTAGAAACCAGTCAGTCACCGTTGTACCCGGTATAGCAACCTTAACCCTAAACCCTGAGCCCTAAACCTTCTGACTAGCCGGCACCTTCCATCTAGATGGGCTCGATGAGACTTGGAAGCCATGGTGTGGGCTCTTGCGTCCACCGAAGTGCTCTGCGCTTTTGACATTCGACGTGTACGGGCTTGAGGGGTTTAGGGTTTCGGGGCTGAGGGTTTGGGGTTGCAGTCCGGATATGGTTTCGACATGTTTCGGATGGAGTGAATGTTGCAAACATGTGTGAAACCGCGTCCGGTCTGCTTTGACTCTTTGACAACATCTTGGCACCGGGGCCAAACCGTGTCGTCGGGCTAGCGGCAATGGCCTAATATTATTGCTAATGCAGGTGTTGTCGTCACTATGACTATCAAGCACATCAGTACTCGCAGTATTCGCCATGTCACTGGCCGTTCTTTCTACCACTGCTGGCTCACTTCGAAGAGCGAAGGCAACGCGAAAAGACATGGAGCAGTGGCCCACTCTTGCTCTCTTTGTCGATTGGCCAAGTCTCACGAAGACCCTTCATTCTTGGGGTGAAGCTTTTTTGCAACTGTAGCCTATACCCTCAACTGGACGGTTCAAAGGTCTGTTCGAAAGCACATCGTCTAGCTGTCATCCGGCCCTTCCACCGCGAAGGCAGGCACTGGGAATCATTTCCTGACTTTCGGGGCTTGGGCTCAGGATTTCGGCTCGGGGTTTGTAGGTTTTTGTGCCCCTGAAACCCTGAACGTCGGACAAGATGCGCACATGGTTGCCCTCCAAAAGGAGGCTGCCGAAGGCTAATGCCTCAGCCGTGGCCCAATCGATTGTCTCGCCGCCTTCCAAATCCTCCAGGCACATCGTCAGGTTTTCGTTTTGGAGTCCCTGTGTTCAGACACGTGCAGTGTAGTCTAGAGTCTAGATCGAGCTTCCCATTCAGTGCGGTTAGCCCAATGCTCGAAGATGTACCAACCATTGGAGTGGGGAACCCAGAATAGGCTTGACAAAACTACTTTTCTGTAGGCAGAAATATCACGGCCGCAATTTGCAGTCCTCCATCTTCTTCTTCAACTGACGCTTGAGGCCATTGTGAACCTCCGAATTGTGCGGGGCTTTGGGGCTCGAATAGAAGTAATCCAGAAGAAAGCAGCGTTGAAAAGCCAGGCTTTGACTGCACTGTCAGCAGTTAATACGTAAGTGCTCAGAATTTGGATGTTACCCTAACCCTCCAGGTACCTACTATATAGGGTACTAGAGCCCCTAGGGCCCTATATAGTAGGCACCTGGAGGGTTAGGATGGTTAGGGTTAGGGAGTTTTACTCTGGTTCGCCGCTCCTCCGCACATCCCAGGTACAGAGCTCCCCTCTCAGTTGCTTGCCTACCTACACCCCCAAAAGTAGGTAAAATAATGGCCCAAAACCTATAAAGGGCTATTAGTCTACATACTTTTGGGGTCCAGGTAATGGCACAATGAAGCGACCACGACGCTCCATCATATGTGCATTTATGTGCAAACCCGCACGCAGGCATGCATGCTCACCTAATCCTAAAGGCAGACACACATGATGCAAATGCACGCTTTTCCGACCATTCTATCCGTCCATTTCACCCGCAAGCATGGCCGCATGTGTGTGTTTATTGTTATATTCTGCCTCTGTGCATGCTCCATAATCGATACATGCAGAAGCAGCACTTGTTGGATGGAAAACATATGAGTAAGTCTCCATACACGCGCCCCATCATATTTTCTGTACCTGTGATTCTGCTGTAAGATAGCGCCAGATAGAGAGGTGATTGCGCCTTGAAGCCATCTGGAGTGTAGCCTGGGCGCATGGCACGTCACCCACCGACAAAGATGGCGGGGAAGCTTTCGCTTGACAGCTCTCTGGGTTAGTTTGCATCCAGAGCTTGGGGAGCATGCACCTTTGTCATTCCTTGGCCAATGCTGACGGAAGCGATGCTGCGTTTGGCTGCGTGACTTCTTCATGTTGCCGATGATGGTGACGATGATCTGCATCCCCTAACATTTTCAAAGACACATGGCATTGGCTTGCCCCGGTAAACCCCCTGCCGCTGAATGCTCAACAACAGACTTTATTGATGCCTTCTGGTTCGACCCCTTGGCTTCGAAGCAAACCGCGGACAAGTTGCAAAGCCTCTCTCCAATTTTCCGCAGCAGCTCAACGTCCACCCCAGTCGGATGAGAGTTGGACATGTCCTAAGTGCTCGAAGGGGCTTCGTTTCGGCCCAACAGTCCGTTCGGTAGGCTTGTGTCCACCACGAAGATTCCAACTCCAGTGCTCTACATTCCCTTCTTCAGCCCTGAGCAAGAAGCTTCACGACGCCAAGGAAAGCTTAAGCAAGCTCCGGGTCACGGAATCTTGTCGGGGGCAGATTACGTGTACACTACGGTGAAATGGCTTGGGTGTTAGGGGGCAACTTGTTTGCAACACTTTCGTGTCGAGATGTTTTTTGCGCAGTGCAGTCCATTGTAAAGTTCTTGAACCCTGCTAGGACGCCCCAAACATGAGGCAATCAAGTCTTTGCAAGCTGAATGTTACCTACAACAGAGAGAGATGTGTACATACACATTATATATATATAGTTTTGTGGAGACAGAGAGAGAGAGAGAGAGATCCTCATATACATATGTATATATATATATATATGTAACTACTCATATGTACATACATGCACATACTGCATGCTCTCTATAAGTCATTTACGAGCTTGTATCATATTACTGTATGACAGTACATCTGAAAATATAACTTGTTGCCACTGCTACAACAGTGGGCTGTCATACAGGTTCCCTGGAAAGGCCGGGAGGTGCGGGTTCAATCCCAAACGGACTCCAAAGCCCAAAGAGTGAAGCCGGGGAAACGCCTGCCTAAACCCCCAAGAGTAAGTAAAATAATGGCCCAAAACCCATAAAGGGCTATTATTTTACATACTTTTGGGGTCCGGGTGTGAACCCTAAGCCCTAGAACAACAAACGACACCAGTTAACCCTAAAGCAGCAAAAGCCAAACACGTCCCAAAGAAAGCGCGCTGCGGTGGGACGGACGAAGCCCTCCCACTTGGTGGCAACCTCAAGACCAACTCTCATCGAGGTCTTTGGTTATGAGCTTTGCTTGCCTGAAACCCTTGAAAGCAGTGTTTCTTGCGGCGGGGTTTGGCGTCTGGGGGTTGATGAATGATGAAGCTAAAAGGGATAAACATATTCGGCGTCTGCCGCGAACTGTCCGAAGCTTCACTCTGCTTCATCCGAAAACACAAACCTCTGCAGCCTAAAGACTTTGAAGCCCTAAAGAGGCAAACTCTCTAAGCAGTGGCCCGGACGACCGCAGAAATATAAAGATCTCACAAGGATGATGTGGCCCTGTATGCTTCCATGGTGTCTTGGATCCCTAACGACCCTGTCTTCAACCCTGAACACCCCAAAGCTTACCGTTCAAGCTCCCGTCGCAGGAGCCGTTGTTCCTGAGCGATTGTAGCTTTCGCAACTGAGGGTTTAGGGAATCTGCGGCCTTTTCTCATCGGCCCCAAAACTCGGACCTCCGCCTGATTGCGATGGTGACTAGAAGACATTCCCAAACCCTCCAGGTACCTACTACATGGGGCCCTAGGGGCTCTAGTACCCTATATAGTAGGTACCTGGAGGGTTAGGGATTGCCGGCCGGTCAGAAGAGATAGTCGCGATATGGTGATGTGTACGTTCCTAGGGACCATTGAAGAGAACTCTGCTCACCGTGATCGTTGCCAAGTGTCTACGAACCTAGACACACCAAATCGAAGATTGGTGCTACAGGATTTGACTACAGGCCTGAAGGAGTTGGTCTACGCACAAACCGAGAACCAAGACCGTGCGACACTACGCCGGTACGTAAACCTCCCAACATCTCAGCCGAAAGCCGCCACCTGTCCTTCGCCAGTAAGCCCCTCTGTTGCCACCGTGCTCCGTCGATCGCCGTTGCTTAAGGAACCACTTCCCTCAATAAGGAGTGCAAGTGACAGGTTTTCAGATTAGAGGTCTATACTTGAAGTTCATGAATAAGTACGAATAGAGTTGCAAGTAGGGTACCTATACTTACAACCCACATTAGGGGACTTATAACCCCACTTATAACCACCCATGACATCATGAACCTCCAAGTACCAGTTCTTCAAACCGCTGGGGTATCCGGCCCATTCGGCTTCCTCACTGGGCTTGAAGCTGTCAGCTTCCTCCAGGAGAAGTAGGCTTTGGGCTGCGGGGTTAGAGTGTCGGATAAAGATTACGATCCCAAATTGCAGATTTTCCAGAGAATTCAATTATATTCAGTGGCTTCAGGATGCCGAAACAATAATGCTTCGCTTCGCAGAAAGGTGCTCTAATCACACGGGGTTCGTCAAGGGCTGGGCCACGTCAACGCAATGCAATCGGGACTTTCCCGGATAACACTTACAACTTACCCTAACCCTCCAGGTACCTACTATATAGGGCCCTAGGGGCTCTAGTACCCTGTATATAGCAGGTACCTGGAGGGTTAGGGTTATGCATGTCTCCCAAGGATTCCCAGGGTCGCAGAGCTCGGCGCATTCTTTCGCACGGACCCCCTGCCTTCCTAAACCCCCCAAAAGTATGTAAAATAATGGACCAAAACCCATAAAGGGCTATTATTCTACATACTTTGGGGGTCCAGGTTTTTAGAAAGTCGAACAAGGATCCTCTGAGTGGGGGCCCTGAATATGATATGATATTCTACGTGCCACAGAAGTCATGGCCAGGAACAGCACCTTCCACGTTCTTCCGTGCAGTGCCGTCGAACATGCAGGCGGAGGATGCGATAAGCTGAGGCAAAAGGACCTTAAACCCCTGATTGCCATCTGCAAACATCTCAATAACCCTTGCACATCTCTTACGCCTTGAAGGCGGCTTCGTGCTCTTTCCAGATCGCCTGGGTGCGGACTTCTATAAAAGTGCATGGCAGTGCAAGAGAGCACGCTTCCAAAGCAAAGGCATGTATCCACCGCATACGGTCCGCATTCAACGATTCATAATACTTGGAACTGCAAGACTTATTGTCATCAAGCTCCCTTACCGCTTGTCCCCACAAGCTTGCAGTATCCTCCTTGGTATTGTTATGACTCTTCCCAGGACCTGTTTTCATCTTCAGAAGCTCAACATCAAAAGACACAGTATACAACACATATTTTGCTCATCTTCACGGGGCGGGTTTCCTGGCACGAAGGGACCTCAGGCCAACTTCAGACTCGTAAATTGTGCAAAGGCAAAGCCGTCAATGTGGCCCAGCCGCCGACTTCATTGCTTCGAGCTCCTGCAATGATATGTTTGTGCTTTACAGTCATCATATCGGCCACATCAATTCAATCATCCCTTGCCCTTTACCATGTCCTGCCCTACCTTGCGAATGCCATCCTAGCCCAAAGGACATCCAGTGGCTGTTTTGCTTCGGGCATCCAGTGACTTGCCATGCACCACGCGCGAGCAATTCTGCCTACCTGACTCCATGGACCCACGGAACACGCCCTTGGCCTTGAGCCCTAAACCCTGCGCCCGTAAATCCTAAAGCCCGAAGCTCCTATGCCCTTGCACTGTATCTGGGCCGGTCCTGTGGAGTAGCGGCGCCACTGTCTACCAAGCTTTTGGCGTACCTAGGCATCTCATGCGATTCCACCAGTGAAGCATGTTGCCATTAGGCATGCATAAGGCTTTTGCGGTTACTTAGGCTTCAGCTTAATATGTGGATTTGTAGTCCCCGTGCCGTGGCCCTTAGAAACTTGCCTCGATCTTGCAGCAACCTGTCCCGCTGTAACTAGCGCACGACGGAAGCAAGCTTCCGAGTAGACCAACTAATCCAAAGGTTCGGGGCTTTCCACATGCAGGTTTAGACCGCTACCGGAGGCATATGCACGAATGGAGGCCACTCCCAATAGGCGGCTTCTGGGTTATCACCGGAGATGGTGTCCCGAGAAGACTGCCAAGCTACACCGCTTCGGTTCGAGGATGCTTGTTGATCTGCTTGTACAGCACTGGCTGCGTATACCTGAAAGCAAGGGAACCGAACATTTATTGTTCATCACAAGTTGCATGCACATACAATGTACATGCGATGGTGCGCATGCGACTGCAAGCCATCAAATTTGGAAGCTAAAACAAGTGAGTGAGGAGTGGCTAGCACCGTTCACTTGATACTACGTCGAAGCTGTCTCTAGTCAAGCTCGTAAGCCAGACATCATCACTTGTTGAATACCGCATCTGGTGCACTTTGACATCCCCAATTGCTCGGGTTCGGTGCCTCGTCATTCTCCTCTCGTCGAAAGGATGCGCATGTCCGTGTCCCTCCGTGTGTGTGCGTGCGCGTGTGTGAGTGTCTCTTGAGTCCTGTGTTAAATTTGCTACATGGGTGCTATATGTCTAGACTGATGAAGACCTGAATTGGCAGCATGAGCCATATCTTTGCAGGTCGGCAGGCTCTGGCGCATCCGTCTCGTTGTGGCCGAAGCGGCGGTAGCAAACCTCGACCCAGATTTCGGCTTCTGAGATGCCACTGGTCATGCCTGGCTTGTACCGTGTGCCTTGAAAGCAAGCTAGTAGACTCACGTGAACCATGTCAGAAGCAATGCAAAGTTGGTACGGTCCGGGTAGAGGCGAGCGGCAACATCGACGATGACCTCGGGCTGCTCAGCATCTTCTGCACCGCAACAATTCGACAAAAAACCCAACTTTGCTGTTTTGATGGCGAAAGAGCCTCGTTCCAAAGTTGCCAAGGGTGCTGCGGCACCAGCCCTTTGCAAAACCACGACTATGTCAACGATGAACAGGAGGACGACGACTGGTGCTCTGTTTACATACTGCTGCAGCTTCTGCTGCAGTGACGAGATCTGCAGCAACACCGGGGCAGCGGCCGCTTCGTGATTGTTGCTATTCGTGTAAGTTCGCGGCATCTGTTTGCCAGGTCTGTCTCCACTCGGCGGCGAGCTCGAATGCACCTGTTAGAGCCCGCACAATTCGGGGAGTTTCTATTCGCTCATGTGCTGCAAGTTGAAGGAGACAAAGAACTCAAAGGGCCGGGGCGCTGGTGACTGCCACAGGGTCATCACCGTTTACCTGCAAAGCAGTAGGCATATCCACCTTTTGGGATCCGGGGAGGCAAAAACAGATGCAGCACCAAGTAAAGACAACAAAGCAAGATGGATGCCCACCAAGCCACATGCAAGATGGGAAGATTGAAGCTCTTGCCTGAGTTGCACAGGAAAAGCTCTACCTATCGCCTGCTGCAAAAAATGGCCCCGAAGACTTCTGGCTCCTCTATCTGAAGGCGTCGAAAGCCACACTCCGTATCGGGGCCACCCCGCCTTCACCAGCAGGGCCGGGAGTGGAAAAGGCATGCAAGCAGCGACTGTCAACATCGAGCATATACGGACAGAGGTTCTACTGCGTGTTGGGACGAAAAAGCCGCGACTGTAATGCAGGACTTAGGACCGGGATGGTTCTCGAATTCGACTGAAGTGCCAAGGTCCGAGGTGTACAGGGTGGACCGGTCATCCACAGGATCCGTGGTGAAGCCCACCTGGCGGAAGACATCTCAGTGCCAAAATCTGGTCCCAAGCCCCGAGACATGGCTTTCAAGCCGGTCTCTGAAGGTCTCTTGGGGTTGGGGTTTCGGGTTTCGGGCTTAGGGCTTATAGGGTTTATAGGGTTTATAGCGTTTATAGGGCTTATAGGGTTTATAGGGTTGAGGGTTTTTGGGTTTTGGGAAGAATCAGCGACGTGCGGTCGCGATATCGGGGATACCTCAGGAACTCTTAATCCGAAAGCCCTGGCTTTATGGCTTTAAATTGTGGTTTCATGGATGTTCAGGCCCGTGAGCCCCAGGCGCTCGAGAGCATATCGAATGCTTTCAGTCCTAGACTTAAACCCTTATACCTCAGCAGAATGGTAAAACATGCTCAAAAATGCCATCATCTGATATCACTATATGCGTGGACAACCTGGTTGTTGATGATGACGTGGATGGTGCCACCCACATCAAACTCCTGAGCAGGGAGGGCATTTGAGAAGAATCTGTCTCTGCAGGCTTTTGGAGCAGGGAGGTCCTGATTCTCCTCCTGATACCCTAATCCCTAAACCCTAAACCCTGATCTATCAAGCCTGCGGCCCAAATCCCTAAAAGCCGCCTCCCATCCCTAACCCTCCAGGTACCTACTATATAGGGCCCTAGGGGCTCTAGTGCCCTATATAGTAGGTACATGGAGGGTAAGGGCATTGCATAGTCCATTGCACGTCAGGGTGCGCTCCCGGTTTAAGAGTTTAAGATCCAGGCTGGGCTTCAGCTAAATTTTGGATTGATGGGCGTCGCGGTCTGGGATTCTTCTAGGCGTAGACGATTGCAACCTTGAGACAGCCCCCGTCCAACAACAACGCAAATCCTAAACCCTAAACCCTCAAACGCTAAATTCGAACAAACCTAACCGGGCTCTCTCGTGTGTTCAGATCTCTAGGGCTTTTAGTCTTCTTGCGGTGCAAGGCTTAGGAGGTTCGGGTTTTCTTCGGGTCCAGGCTTTCCAGGGGTCATCCGCAACCAAACTTTCGAAAGGATCCTATGGTATGTATACCTACACAGGACGATCGGCTGATGCTTGATTCTACGTATTACTGCTGCTATCTCACTGGGGGGCCGAAGGGACCCAAAACCACAAAACCCCCTCTCCTGCACGTGGGCCAGCTGCATGGTCTCATAGACGACGCCCTGACCGGCGAAGGACGCATCCTTGGTCGAGAAAGCGGTTCCCAGGTCTAGCACTTCTATAGGTTACCCATAGGCCCCATAGTAGTTCCTTTTCGGGGTTCATATTTCCAATCCGAGAAGGTGATGCCAAAAAGGAACTACTATGGGGCCTATGGGTATAGTATAGTCATATAGTCATATAGTGCTTGAGGGAATTGCTCAAGGACTTATGGATTAAATTGGGTTTGGGGTGCCTCGAGCGTGCGGTTTTCGGGGTCTGCAATGCAAGGCGCATGGCCGCATGCCCCTGTATTGCCCAAACGGCATGAGATTTTTCTTCGGGACCCGAAACAACAAGTTCAACCCACGTTGACAAACAAAAACAGAAACATGGAACGTGCGCGGCGGCTTTGCAAAGTACTAACGAAGGCAACCTGCCTGAAAGTCGAGCAATACCGCCTCATGTATCGTTTCATGTAGGCATATTTTTGACATTTTTGACGCAAGAAGCCACGTCTATGTCCCCTTCGCCTACAGCCCTCAACCCGTCGAAACCCTAAAGACGAAACCCTAAACCCCAAAGCCTCAACCCCCCTCGATTGAACTCGACCTAATGTAGGGGGCCTTGATAATTAGAATAGAGTTTGGGGGGGTATCTTATACCATAATTATAATAAGGGCCCCCAAAACCCTATTCTTATTATTAAGGCCACTATATTAAAGCCCCGCCCCTCTAATTTTGAACCCCAGTCCCAAGCCTTAGCCAAGCATCGCCATGGAAGAGGATGGGAAGAACTCGAGTTCGTGACTCCTCCGTGTTGCCTAAGTAGTACCTGCCCCCACGGGATCTTTAAGTTTGAAAGATCTGAGGCTTTAGGGCGAGGCTTCTGGATTCTGGGGTTTACAAGTGGGCTTGCAAACCCTTGATCCAAGAGACCTTGCATTGCATCCTCTGCCTCAAGCCTTTCCGGCAAATCTCGCTCGCGTTGAGATCACTTGTTGTGCCGGAATTTAGGACGAGCAACATCAACCGAATTCTCGAAACAACGAGCATTCTTTCAGGACAGGGACAGGAGTGACAATCACCTCAACCAATAGTCAGTCGGATATCGGCAACCAGAGTAATACTACCCATAGGCCCCATAGTAGTTCTTTTTTGGGATTACCTAATAGGATCCTAAATATAAGCCACAAAAAGGAACTACCATGGGGCCCATGAAAACAGCCACAGCGATCGATGCCGCCCTGCTCTAAGGCGCGCGCTGTTTTGCCCGAGCACGACCGAGCGTGACTGTGTTCACCTGGTCGAGGCAAGCGGGAAAGCGGGGTGGCTTTCGGATTGACGATTTGAATCGTTCAGTGTTCTGCATTAGTCTGCGGATTTCAACTTGTAACATGTGCTGACGAACGAGTCTCATCCATGTATCCATGAACTCCAGAAGGATTGCTAAATCTGCGGCCAGAAAATCAAGCTTAAAGCCAGAGTACTTGAATTGCATCCAAACCTTCCTGTGCCAGGCCTTCAACTCAACTCCCTGCAAAGTCCTTCAGTGCCATGGAGCGACAGAAACCAGACCAAACGTCCAGGAAAAGTTCTGAAGATGATGTGAAGGCTGAATTTACTGACACCTTTACAAGCTGCATACAGGGTTTATGTGTACGCGAACCTCAAAGGAATAGGATTAGGCCTTCAACTACCTTACAAATGCCGACGTTGCGAACTGACGTCTTGATCTCCAAACACTGAGCCCCGTGCGGTCTCCAAGTGGGAGGGGTTTGCCTGAAGGAACACCAAATGTACAAATATGTGTATATATACATATACATACATATATATATATATACATATACATATGTACAACACATAGACTGCATCCTTCCACACTAGTTGTTCTATAGAAAATGCGCCGGGTGAGTGTTTGCAGATTGCGCTGCCGATGCTCACGCCACAGAGAGTCGCAATGACAGCACTATAGCCACGGCTAACACGCGAAATGGAAACTTCTGAATGAGTGTTGTACTAGCAGCACTACGACTGCAGTGGCATGATCAACTAAGCACCATCACCACGCTGTTTGAACCATCGTCACGTCCAGCTCCGCAAGTCTGTTTCCGTCCGACCATCTTCGGGCTTAGAGGGCTTGAACTCTTAGGCTTTAGGGAATGGCTTGGCTTAGAGTTCGGTTTAAGGCTTTTTGGATTTAGGGATTTTCGGCTTTTTGGGTTTTATGGAGCGGCTTAGAGATTACAAGCTTACAATATCCTTAGGACCTGTTGGGTGAGAGGTTGGGCTCTTCCTCGGCCAGGGCGCGTCTGGACCACTGGAAGCCGACGCCCACTCCACCCTAAGCCTCATTTCCGACTTCCCCATAGCCGAGGCCGATTCGTAGACTCGTAATGTCCTATGAGTTTAAGTAAAGCCGAAATTATCCCAACAGAACATGATACAGTACAAATATACCTACTATCAGGTTAGAAAACTGAACCCTAAAACCCGAAACCCTAAGGCCCTAAACCCTAAAAACCTAAACCCTGAAACCCTAAAAACTAAGGCCCTAAACCCTCAAATCCAAACCCTTTTTGAGCACGGGCTTGGATTGTATGCCGGCAAGATGCTCGAGGGCAGGGACTTCCCAGTTAGAAAGACTGTACACACCAACCCTGAAACCCTAAACCCTAAGGCCTAAACCCTCAAATCTAAAACCCTGAAACCCTAAACCCTAAGGCCCTAAACCCTCAAATCCAAAACCCTGAAACCCTAAAAACTATAATCCTCAAACCCAAAACCCTGAAACCCTAAACTCCGCACCGAAAAAACGACCTGGAGGCCGGATCTGCGGTGCCTCGAGGGTGGCCGTGATCGTCTTGCCCCCTTCGAAGCTGAAGACCTAGCGGAAGTTCAAAAACAGGGTTTTAGGGTTTTAGGTTTTCGGGTTTAGGGTTTGGGGTTTTAGGGTTTAGGGGAATCTTGTGTGTAGGCGATTACTTTGGAAGCAGTTCTACGACCCATTATCACAATCATCCCATAAGTCTGTCTGAGCTGAACATGCTTGAATACTGCTGCTGGGAAAATTCTCGGGGCTTGTAGATTTTCTTACCTTCCGGAGTTCAGGAACGAAGCCTCGCCGCAGTCAGAACCCGAATCGTTGGATGGAGGGGTCTGAATAAAACAGACGACAGCCCTACCCTAAAGCCCTAAACCAATAAGACGAGAACAGGACATCCCTACCCTAACGCCCTAAACCAATAAAGCAAAGAGAGCCTGTGAGGTGCCCTACCCCAACGCCCTAAACCAATCAAGCAAAGAGAGCCTGTGAGGTGCCGAGGTGGTACTTCACATCACCAGCGAAGAGCCAGTCGTCCTCGTCGCTCCTCAGCGGCCCCATCTCTTGGGTTGGAGATTTATGCCTCGTGGGGTCTTGGGTTTAGGGTTTAGGGTTCGGGTTTTACGGTTGAGGGTTTAGGGATTAGGGTTTAGGTTTAGGGTTTAGGGTTTAGGGTTTAGGGTTAAGGTTTAGGGTTAGGGCTTCAGGGACGGATCCACGCCAGCTCCCGCTCAGGGTTTAAGGGTTAAGGGGTTTGGGGGCAAATCGAGAGGTACAGTCGAGATTTTAGGGTTTCGGATGGTTTCGGGGTTGGGAGTGAGGCTCCCTACCCCCACCCCCTAAACCGTAAACCCTTAAACCCCTTTTACACCTGGACTACGCATATGCCAGGAACCAAGGCGCCGACTGTGCCCTTAAACCCTAAACCCCTAAACCCTAAACCCTAAAAGCAGAACATCGATCCAAATTCTCCAAGGATCTTCTCCACGAGCTTCTCGAAGTCGTAATGGGTGCCCTGATCACAGTGCCGTCACGTTAATGCTTGCGACCTGGTGGTGGAGAAGACCTATCACACAAAGCAGTCTGAGATATGATAAACCGGCTTTAGTGATGCCTCGGCATGACTGGCTGGTGATAGAGCTACAAGGAGACGCCCTCTTGTTGCATTATCCTCCTCGGTCCACTCTTTACACTCCTAGCTCCTGATGGGTCCTGAAAAAACAAAGCCAGGAGCAAGGTCGAGTAAGACCCGAAAGGACCAGAGCAAGACAGTCAAACCTGGCGACTTGGCTGTAATACAGCTCTGATCATGCCGATGTGAACAGAACGAGTGAGAAGCGTGGGATGCCCCCCCAAAGGATCGAACCGGAGCATTTCAGGACATGCGGGGACCCCGAAAACATGCGGCACCCTGCCTTGAACTCTGCGAACATCTGCACCAGAGGCTTCCGCACCACGTTGGTGAGGACCTTCGGTCTGGCTGACACTGCCCTGAGCATTTCCCAAAGGGTCTAAGTACCCATATAGTAGGTATTTTGGGCCCCAAAGTATCTACCATATTGTACTTAGACCCCTTGGGTTTGGGGCTTGAAGCCGGAAGGTTTGTCTCTGTTCGGCCGTAACAGTTGGCTGGGAAGCTCTGGCCTCAGAAGCATCGGCGCACACAGCCTGCTGACATGAAGGTCGACAGGCTGCAAAAAACGAGTGCCTGTGGTTTAAGTAAACAGCTCTATGAAGACTCTGGAGGCGAAGCTGTGTGTAGGGCGTTTAAATATACCTGCTCTTCGACAGCGCTAAACATAAGCACTCTCAACCCAAGTAAAGGACATGGAAGGACCCCCAATAGTCCAAGATGCATTCAGCCGGCCACGATGTGGCATGCCGATGACGCACTCGGACATGCCCAGCGTCGCAGCCTGCTCAGCGTGTGCCCAAGTAGCCGGCAGGGTCTATTTACGGAATTTACGGTCATGCCATGCGCGAGGATTGTTTTTGTTTGCAATCCATACTGAGTTCGAACATGCAAGTGACACAAACCGTCTCTGCTTCTTTTCCGGAGCGTGTCCAGGCTTCAGGGTCGATGATTTAGCAGAATTCGACCATGGCCATGGCTGTAAATTCGGCCTACTGCCCCGGTCACGTCCCACAACTGCCACTGAAGCCATGACTGCCTTGACCACTCTGAGTGTTAAGACAGATTGCCATGAATGTGATGACTGCTGCAGAGTGCTTTTCTGCTGCCGATCTTTGTCGTTCGTCTTATTGCGCCGCTGCGCTGCTGGTGCTGGTGCTGCTTCTGTTATGAAGACACTGAGAAGGATGATAGCCGGGACAAGTGATGATGAAGATCGTTACAGATGGGTTTTTCTTGGCACCTTCGGCAGACAAACTCGTGCCTTCTCGATGGCCGCATTGACGCCTGGGTGGTTCTGGCTTCTCGTTTCCGACTGAGAGATGCCCAAGTCGACGTCACTGTACTTGGGGCTTCATGGGCACCTACAAATGGGGTTATATGTAGGGTAACTGTACTTATAACCCATATTAGGGAACTTAAATCCCCACGTATAACTACCCATGAACCTCCAAGTACAGTAGGTCCCAACTCTTCCAACAACGAAGGCTACCCTCGACATTCTCTCGACTTTGTTGGCCAAAATTACGAAGGCCAGAATCGATTTTAGGTCAGTACCGTAAACAACGCGCGTGTCATACTCATCTGCAGACATTCTTCTCTTATTACAAAACCGTAGGCTGCCACAACATCACATCCTTCGTTCCAACAATTCAGAGGCCAGCCTTCCAGATTACTAGTGAAGTTCGCTTGGCACCCGCGCCAGCCACTGCCGTTTCGCCGCCATCGACGCCGAAGCGCTTGGTTGTCTTGTACCTGCAGCCCAGGACATGCCCTGAACAACTTAAGGGCTTCGGGTTCACGAAGCCCTCTGCTTGAAAAGCAAGCTTGTTTGTGCATCTGGGCCCCATGAGATAGCCAAACAGCTACAACAAGTCAAAAACCCCTAAACTTGACTTGACCGGTGAACTTAAACACCTGCTATAGGGGCGTGGGGGAAACGTCGCAGTGTGCTTTCGGATCCAGGAAGATATAGGCAGACACCTGCAAATCTCAGATGGATCGATCGTTTCGGACCCTTGAATGCCAAGAAAAAGCCGAGACACTGTGTGTTCAGGAACATTTCGAAGGTGTCCTCGGGTGGCTGCAGCAACACAAAGCAACAAACAATTCTGGCATCGGGCTCGGTTCGGGTTCCCTCTTGGACTCTTGGGGGATTTTCTCCAGAGCGCGATCAATGTTTTCCATGCTGGCGGTCGGTACTGATATCTTTCTAGCGGGAGTTCAACTCGAGCCTGAGCTCTTTCCATCCGCACGCCTAAACCCTGGCTATGCAACCTTAACATCATAGTATACCCATGGGCCCTAAAGTAGTTCCTTTTGGGGGTTCATATATAGAATCCTATAAGGTAACCCCGAAAAGGAACTACTATGGGGCCTATGGGTAGTAGCATAAAGCCTATACAGGCCAAGGCACCACTTTCAACAGCTCCTTGTACACCTATCATGGCAGGTGCAACCAGGCAAGCACCAAGGGGCAACAGCGGCGAGTGAGTAGCCATTGCAGTACGGAGATTCGGTGAATTAGTCGTAGTTGTGTTTGCCGCGGTTCTCTTCAAGGGTTCTGGTGGTGCTGGCAGCACGCATGCATCCTGGCAGTCATCGTATGTATGTATGTATGTATGTATGTATGTATGTATGTATATATATATAATATAAACACACATACATGCATATTTATGTATATATGAATCACTCAGCATCGCAGCAGCTCAGCTAGAGTACCCGGAGCAGGAGCCGCCGCACCAATAACCAAACCGCTCACGATGTTGGCAGCGAAGAGACTACAAAGAAAATACAGCAGCAGCAGTAGCAGCAGCAGCAGCAGCAGCAGCAGCAAAAGCAGCAAAAGCAGCAACAGCGGCAAACGGCAGCGACAGCAAATCTAAACACAACAAGGTGCATCGCAACAAACACAAAACAATGGCGTTGGGAGCAAAGTGGCGAAATTTCATACAAACAGAACAGGACATGTTGGAATAGCATAGTTCTACCGACAAAACAAAAATCTCCGAGAATGCTGAAGCGGAACAAAACCCCAAGCACGGCCTTCAGGAGCTTGCTCTTGTCAGAGGGAATGAAGTTGGGATCTTCCACCCGCTGTCGGATCCAATCAATCTTCTGGAGATCTCCGATGTGCATGTACCTTGGCTTCGGATGGAATGAGCCCTCTACAGACAACGGGCAGCTGAGGTGGCTGAAGAAGAGGCGGCCTCAGTCAACAGATCAACGGGACATATCGAATAGTTCACTGTATGCCGTAAGCCAGATATGTCGAAATCCCGGAGCAGAACTGTTAGTCCTTCAGGACCTAAAGTTTCGTTCGGGCACCAGCTCACAGGCACCGTCCGTTGAAAACATCGGGCCGTGTTTGTGGAGCTCCTTTGAACACGCATTAGGAAACGACAACCCTAAAACAATTGTTTGTCTCATCGACGCCCCATCCTGAGACGAGAAGCTCGATCCCGACAGAGCCGGAGTACCTGGGATGGAAAACACGCTGCGGATCAGCGAAGTCGAAGGGATTAGGGTTTTTAGGGCTTGGGGCCTAAATAATAACCAATACTACTTTGGTGGTTATTATGATTATAGTAGAATATACCCCACACTCAACATTGGCTCGGCAGCGGCACTAGTACCGCTGTTGCGGGACTAGTCAGCTATCTTTCCCAAATCACCCTTTCCAAGATTTAGGGTCGTGTAAGAAATTGCTACTCGCAGCTAACCAGTTGAGACGATCAGGAAAGAGCTGCAGCAAGATCAGAATGACCACATGGCCTCTAGTGTTACGGACTCCAAGCGATCAAGATAACCAAAGCCCTCAGCTACTCGAACGTACAAATACGCGCCCCTTTCAGGATGTTTCTCAGGCGTTGCGTTTCTTGGCACGAGGGCAGACAGAGTAGGACCTACACTGTGACACTTCAACCATCTTTACCTTTTTTTGTAAACAAACCTCCCCTAACTGCTGAAAGCCGTCAACCAAGTAAGCCCTAGGTTCGTGAGTTCACTTCCTCGCAATCCTGTCAGGCTAGGGCCTAGATCGTGTGCAGCTGCAAACCGCTGTAGACACCGAACTAGTTCTGCAACGGAACACCAAAAAACACAACAGAGCTTAAGAAGCCCCCAACCCCTTTGGCAGACTCTTGATTGCTTTCAATGCTTGGTTTGCACGACTCCGTAACCGTTCATCCAGATCACCCACCCCCAGATGCCGAACCACAAGCCTTAGGTTCAATCCTCGGCCCCGGATTCCTGAGAGTAATCACATGACCCACAGCCCCCCAAAGCCGAAACCCTAATGGTCGGCCCGAGAACGTACTCTGCAGCGTGGCCAGGATCTCTTTCAAGGTGTGTTCTGCGCTTAGCCCGACTAAGCTCACCTGACATGAAAATGGCAGTTGTCAGCCCGACGAGTGCTACCAGAATGTAGTTCTACAGGGAAACACTCTGTGTGTGTGTGCATGTGTGCAGAACTTAACCTTAGCAACAGCCGAATAATTACAAGAGCTAGAGCTGTGTTGATTCTTCTCTGCAAGTACGACCTAGGCTCTCTGTCCCTCTGTCTCTGTACCCATGCTCTTGGGCTTGGTACTGTGACTGGAAGCCCACATATGCCCCCGAGCTCTCTCGCTCTCTCTCTCTCTC